CAGGCGAGAGGAGCTCTTTTGTCTCGTCCTCGTAAACAAGTGGGAAGGAGGAATGTGTCGCCGCTGATGAACTCGGAATTTTGCAGCGATCCGCCCGGCCAGATCCCGGCTTTACCAGCAGCAGCGTCAACTGTCAAAATCAAATCTGACCTCGTAAACAAGTGGGAAGGAGGAATGTGTCGCCGCTGATGAACTCGGAATTTTGCAGCGATCCGCCCGGCCAGATCCGGCTTTACCAGCAGCAGCGTCAACTGTCAAAATCAAATCTGATGCTAATAGCTTCGGTACTAAATAAAATGAGAGGCCAGATAACATCAGTGCTTGATAAATGGTAATGAGTGTCTAACCTAGGGGAACAGAAGGGCTGTGGGGCTCTTTAATTCAGTATTGAAAGGCTAGCTGGGTACTGCAGGCTCTAGCAGATGTTAGTATGTGTGTGTTTTGATTTTTGACTTGTATTGGACGTTTATTAGGCTAACCAGAGCCACCCCACGCATGGCCACTTGGTCCAGGCACCATCTGGCACAAGCAGGGCGGCGTGCAAGAATAGGCCCTCGCTTTGGTGCTGAGGATCCACAGGCAGCATCTACCATATGGACCCGGAGCTAATGTAGGTTAAAGCAAGACAAGCTCATCTCTGCTTTTCACAGCTCCGCCAAACCCCTCTGCCATCCTGCCCAAGCGGCCACCTTGGCGGCTGGCGAAGAGCTTCCAACCTTCGCCTTCCCCAAAACCTGGCCAGAGGGGTGCAATCCCCCCCTCCCCCCCCCCAAAAAAAAAAAAAAACCAAAACGCTCCCCAACCCGCTCAGCCGCCCTTGGGTGGCTGCTATTTTTCGACTCAAACTTTGCACCCAGTTTCCCTCGTTCCCGGCAGGAGCGGGAGTCGCTCCAGCTCTCCACGTGTCGGTGTCGTGTGTCCCCCCCCAACCCAAATATTTTCAGAAGCTCGAGTGAGCGGTGCAAAACAGACGTGAAATCCTCCTCGAAACTCCAGGGCATTATTGTGATTCCAGCTATAAAGAGAGCCCGTAATAAAGTAATAAATAACCGGGGAATATAATAAACCACCTGCTGCATGTTGACACACACGCGCACACGGAGTTCGGATAAAAAAAAAAAAAAAGGTGCATTAATAACATCAAACATCAAACAGCTGAGCCTGAAAGTCGACCGGGAGCAGATTAGAAGCGCAAACTCCTGCAAACTCTGTCCTCTGCCCAACGCGCCATCCCGGGTCATCTTTGGAGACCAAGAGCGCAGCGTCCTCCCTCCGCTTGCTCAGCGCCCTTCGGCTCATTTCGGAGGGGTACATGTCCCCGGGGGGGGAAACGGGACGGGACGACCCGGGCCCTCAGAGCCCCGGGCTTTGCCGGGGGGGGGGGCACTGCCGGGATGCTGAGCAGTGGCCCGACGTGCCC